AAGGTGGTGAAGGGTCTGGAGCACAAGTCTTATGAGGAGCGGCTGAGTGAACTGGGGTTGTTTAGCCTAGAGAAAATGGAGGCTGAGGGGAGACCTTATTGCTGTCTACAACTACTTGAAAGGAGGCTGTTGCAAGGTGAGTGTTGGTCTCTTCTCCCAAGTAACAAGTGATAGGACAAGAGGAAATGGCCTCAGGTTGCGCCAGGGGAGGTTTAGATTGGAAATTAGGAAAAATGTCTTCACCAAAAGTGTTGTCAAGCACTGGAACAGGCTGCCCAGGGCAGTGGTTGGGTCACCATCCCTAGAGGTATTTAAAAGGTGTGTAAATGTGGTGCTTAGGGACATGGTTTAGTGGTGGGCTTGGCAGTGCTAGGTTAATGGTTGGACTTGATGATCTTAAGGGTCTTCCAACCTAAAAGATTCTATGATATGTTTCCATCATACTCACTATTTTGCAATGTGGTGGCAGCACTGTGGAATTATTACTGAAAGCTTTCCATGTCTTTTTCCCACAGTACACAGTTCTGCAATCACACTACAAGACAGTTGAATAAAGATTGATATCTCAGTCGACACATTCATGGGTCTGGAAGTTGAGGAGTGATTGTAGCCCTCTGCATAACTGTTGGGAGAGCATGAGTATTGAGAGGTACCGTGAGACTGGGCAGCTGACATTCATGGGAATTAGTGACTGGTGTGATGCAGTTCATCATACGTATAGACGTGCACAAATCTTCAAGTGAAGAAGTTGCCAGCCTCTCAAATTTACCAGTCCTCCAGGAGCCGTTGCTGTTGCTGGAGGTTTGTCCTGTAGCAGGTTTTGTCATTAAGTTCATACCTATGTGATACGACAGGGTCTACTGCAGAGGTTCCAGGCTGTCTGAACTGGCTAGCTCATGTACCAAAGCAACAGAACTACATCCATGGTATATGTGTTACAGGCAAGTAACTACTTGTAATGCTTAGCCCGGGCAAAGTGCTGTGTTAGCATGACTCTATGGCATTCAGTAGCTGGGTAAGCTTTTAAATTTCTCCATGGCATTGATTTGCGTTACTGCAGCCATCTTACATGTGTTCACACCTCCCCATTTTGGAAAAGAAATGCTACTTATGTTTAAGTGCATACATACATAAATACCATCCAAATAGCCTGAAAAAAAATTGTTTTTTTTTTTTTTTGTTTGAAACAGAAGGAAATTTGTTCATTATTATTTTTCAGTGAAAATAAAGCTAAATGAAGAAAGTTTCTACTTCACAATCATCGTGGCCCAAACGCAAACATTTTGTTTCCTTTTTTTATTTTATGTTCTCTTGGTTTAGTTTTCTTTCTTAAAAAATACTATTAATTTAAAAATGTAGTATCCCACTAGAAAATAGAAATTAGAACCTTTCTCAGCAAAACAACAATTAAAATCCTTTAGGGTCCCCGTGCTTATCTTCTGAGTTTCTTTCACTTAATCTGATTGTGAAGTTCAAACTGAACTTGGATCAATCTCTTTCCAACCTGCATCTTTAAGCCAGTATACTAATACTTAGTTGTAAGAAAAAAAAAAAAATAATCAATTGCAGCTATAAACTGGAAATTATAGGTGATGTACACTTATGTGTCATTGCAGAAAGGTTGGAGATATATATATAGCCTTCAACAAAAATGTGTGATTTCCATATTGCTGGTATATAATGTATAGATGTGCTGACCGTACATTAGCTGTGTGCCAACAGGCTGATAAAATACCGATTTCTTTTCATAAGGTTGCAAAAGGTCAGAGTGTTTACGCTGCAACAATGTTTTCTTGATATTAGCAGCTGCATTTGTCAAAGCTGTTCCTCCTTAATCCTGGCAGAGCAGAAATCTTACTGGTTAGGTTAAGGTTGTTGTTTTGGTAGGCTCTGCATGGAAACACTGGTGCCCAAATGAGGAACATTAAGATATTTATTGGCTAATTCTTTTCCATGACGGTAATTTATAGTTTGAGGCTTTTTAGTCCATTTATAAAATCTTTTTAGTTAAAAAGAAACCTTTTAGTACCCGCCATTAAAATAGGTCTTTTTGCAAATACCTGTTCTTTGCTTTGTCATCAGGTTTCTGTGGTGGACTATTCACTCTTAACATGTCTTTCAACATGGTTATCCATAGCCTGTTGTCAGTACACACTCATTGCCCTTTTATTGCCTAGACCCTGTTTAATCATACCGCTTTTCATCTTGGTTCTCTTACAAGTAACACCCTAATGTTCAAGGTGAGTTAAGAATTCAAGGATTTATATTGCTTTTTGAATGAGAATTTCTAAAGAGAGTGGATGCCATCCTAAGTCAAATTCTACATGATATCATCTGTCAAATTGCTTAGAAAAACTTGAATTTTAAGTATCTGTTTCATCAGCCTTTCTGTACAGTTATGCCTCAGTGTTGTTATCTTCAATTCTAGACTGTAAATATAAAATATGTGCTTCCCCTTCTTGATCAAAATATACCTTTCATTAAAAGCTACCTCTCTTTGTTTTTGAATGCATTTTGATGACAGTTCTTTAGGTTCTTTGCAGGTCTTAGCTAGCTGAGGGTGTTCCATGCTAGATCAATTGTTTCCCTAACTAGATGATGGCAGAAGCTTTGCAGAATAAAGCTAGTTACTGGATGAGGAGGAAATGTGGATGAGGTGGCTTAAATTTTACATTTAAGCACATAACACTTTCTATTGAACAAAGTTTGTGTAGCCTCCCTTGCCTCCCCTTTTTTTTAAAGTGGAAAGATCTCCTACCTCTAATTCATTGGAAAATAAGAAGATAAACCTCAGGCTTTAGGTTTTGGGGTTTTTTTGTGATTTTTTTTTTTTTAAAACTTGTTAAATTTTGTCCTGCCTTAGCTAAACAGTAAAATTTTAGTATATACGTTGTAAATGACTGCAGCAGGAACAGCAGCTGCAGCTCTTGAAATGTGTGAAAGACTGAATAGGTTCTGCAGCATCTGTATGGCCATCTGAAAAAGGCTTGGTGATGGTTAGATCTTTTCATTTTCCCGCTATATCACCAGCTGTTGATGTCTCCATCCTCCTACTCCATCATTAGAGGCAGGTGAAGGAACTTCCCTTCATTCTCAACCTGCTGCTGGTGAAAGCAGAAAGAACCAAATCAGATTCCTCCCTAGGTAGCCCCAACATTTATTTATTTTAGGCATGACCTTGAATTATGTGATCGTACTTTATACTCCCTGAATTGATCATCTTGGCCAATGATTGAATCAAATGCAAAAGGAAGAATTATTTTGTATGGGTATTTGTAGGTTGGACTTTTTTGACTTAATACTCAACTCTTAACCTAAATATATTTTATTGCAATTAATTACATTATCTGTCTAACTATATGCACGTTAATTGTATACATAATATAGTTGTTATAGGGCTTTTAACTATATCAGAGTACCTGTGAAATTAAGTCTATTTGTTTTCATTCACAATGTCTATGGGAGGGAGGGTAGTGTAAGTCTCCAGTCTCTGAGATTGTATAGATAACATGTAATACAGATTGCAGAGAAAACTTTGCTCAGGATAATTTATGCAAGGTTGAATGCTGGAAAATTTTATGTGAATGTGTATGTGTGTGCATACAGGTGTGCAAATATATCTATGGAAACATACATGGAATGAACTGTGACCAGTCCCTATAGAGATTTGATTAAGCTGATAAAAGGCATGAATGACTGAAATGAATTATTCTGTGTATATAATTTGTAAATGACTAATTGCTTGAAGTTGTTTAAAAGTGATGTTTCCAAATGTATGGAATTTAAATCCATATCAACTTCTGACCTCATATACCAGTTAAATCATACTTTTATTGTTCTGGAAAACTGAAATTCCTGAAACAAAGTCTTTTAATTATCTGTAAGATTTCTTAAGCCTGAAAGAGCAATTGAAAAATCTCAAGAGAATTCATGAAATCCTTGAGCATTACAGGAATAAATTTTTGCCCTTGCTTTTAACCTCTTTGTCCATACAACCAGGAGTACCCTTATTTTATTTACGGGCTGGTAAATAATTTACGTTTTGTTTAATCTGAGTCTTTATTTAAAGTAACAATAAAAGGACTTAAAAGGACCATGCATCCCACAGATAAGAGCATCATTCTTATATAAAAAAAATGTTCTCATGAATAAAATGCTAGCCCAGATTTCTGGAAACTAGCATTGAAGTCTGGTTCTTCATGTTTCCTGTGTGAATACTAGCAATTCACTTGATTTTTCTGTTCCCAAATTCTTGTTTAGAAAAAAAAATAAACTCTTCACTCTCTGTATCTTGTTTACGAAGTTAGTTAATTCTTTGGCCCTGGACTGTGAGCTGTGAGGGATGTTTCTAACATATATGAGGACTTATGTTTTTAGAACTGAGTGGCTAGTATTTCAAATACACTATTTTCAAGTAGTAAATGTAATACAAAAGTGCTGACCACTTTTGACCAAAAAAGTTTGTTTTTCAAATATTAACGTTTTAATGTTAGCATTTCCTAAATAAAATCCATCTGGAAAATGTCATCATGTTTGACAGTTTTGAAAATAAATGTTTTAAAATTATAGTTTCAATTAAAAAAGGAAACTTATGAAAATAAATATTACAAGGTAAAAATAAAGGTTGGGACTTTTTTCTGAAAAAAAATAATTGAAAAAAACGTTATTGAATTGCTTTATTTTGGGCTTACATACGCCAGTTATTCAAAGAAATTTGAGTTTTTTTCTTTGACTTTTACTTCAAACGAAAACTATTTTAAAATCCTTTTTCCAGGTCAGTGACAAAATAAAAATTAATCATTTTTTCATTTTTAACCAGATTTAAAATCCACTGAGAATATTCTATTTTTTCTTTTTGTCTCTTCTATCTTGGCATGGTGCATTTTCAGTAGTCAGTAACTAGGAGTCATCTTGGTTGAAGTTGAACTTGTTTTAGCCCAATGTTTTATATGTAGTGCTGTTTTGCAACAATATTATCATCTTTTTTTTTTTCTTGGAAGACGAAGGGTGCTAGCTATATCTGATGGAATTGAACATATTGGGAATCTTCGCTGGGAACTTGCTCTGTGCCTCCTTGCTGCTTGGACTATCTGTTATTTTTGCATTTGGAAAGGAACAAAGTCTACTGGAAAGGTGAGGTTAAAATTCTGTGCATCAGCTGTATTACAACTCTCTTGTGCTCCAAACCTGTGTTGTCATTTCTATGTATTTAAATCAGAATGGTAGAATTTCAAATGCATCTTGCATTGCTGTAAGTAACTGTACTTGAGGGTATATAAATTATAATTCTAGGTAAGAATCAGTCATACTTTGCATTGTTTTGTTCTTCTTGGTTTTCGTGATTTGCTTTTCCCTAATTCTGTTGGATGAGGCTGGTTGTTTTTGTTTTGGTTAATTTAGCAGACTACACTACTGGCCAGTCCTTGAACTCTGAAACTGGACACTGCGTTGTGTTGATTTCTGTACATGAAGTATCAAAAATTTTAATTTTGTCCCAAACTGACAGGAGTTGAAACTCTCAGTGACACAAGTAAATTACACACAGAGCAGAGAGAATTGAGAAATACAAGCAAACTACAATGAATGCAAATGGAACACTGAAAGCAGTAATAATGAAAAAACTCAGAGATAAAGATGGACATATTAAGAAAAAAAGAAAAATATCTTTTACTCTTGTAACTTTTTGAGTGAATGCCATTCCATACTGGACACCCAACAGACAGACATTACTTCACAGCCTAGGCGAGTCATCCCATGACTGGAGGCTGCCCCTGGAGTAGTAGCAGATGTGGTTCTGAGTAGAATATATGATTAATCAACTACACAAAGAGAGGAAAAGAGCTGTAGTTCTGGAGGAGTGGTCTAAAAAAAGCACTGATTTCTCGTGTTGGAACCCAAGAATACAAGGAAAAAAATTGGTGGATTGAAACATTTTGTGCATTTGATTTTCAATTGTTTATTACTTAGTTTGGAAATGTGGTTGGATTTTTTTTGTTTTCTGTTTTAGTAGCCTACATTTATAAATTAAATGTTTGAAGTACACGGTGGTTTTGGGGTTTGTTTTTGTTACTTTTTTTAATTTAGAAAATGTCAGAGTGAAATTTTTCAGTTTTCTCAACCACACACATCCTTCTTCCTATCAAAATTTTGGCTGAAACTATTTGCTGAATTCTGTCTGTATTTGCCAACTGTGTCAGTCAATCTGGTACTGCATTTTTCGTCTAAGTATTTGCACACAGAGATTTATGCAGCCATACTTTTATCAAGTCACTGCAGGAAAAATGCTGAGAAATACTGTCTAGGGATACATACAAGCATGAATAGTTTAGAGGAAAGAGGAGGGGAAAAACCTAAAGAAAGAAATATAGAGAAGCAAAGGTGATATAAGGGAATGACAAGATAAATGTCCATATGTCTTTGAAGCGTGCACTCCAGGGAGGTACAAAAGTGGCTTAGAGTTGTCTGAGGAGCTACAGCTGGCAGTGAAGAAATGAAACTGAGCAAAACTAATTTTCATTTTTCCATCAGAAAGAATGTCTGAAGATGGAGATCTATTCTACCGTAGTATAATCTGACCCAAGGGTGGAGGAAAAAACATGTACTTTGAATGCACGTGTGTGCATGCATGCAAGGTTGTGCAAAACTGCACTGTACTTAAGAAAAATAGCATTGGTAGAAATCATTTGCTGATGAGGCTCTAGTGATTTTGGAAAGGATATATTTTACGTTTCTGCAGTTTACATTCAGATTTTTATTGTTCTTCATATACATGTCACATGAGACTCCTTCAGCTTATACCATTTCCCCAGAAATAGATCTTGCATTTTGGAAGTATTTAAAGTGAAATAGACCTGTTTGACCCCACCCCCAATAGCTTAGCTAAAACCTCAGCTTACTGGTAGGCGGAATAAATTTTATTTGATTTTATTGCAGTGTGATTTTAATAACCACCTTTCTGATGAGGTTAGGTGAAACAGCCTGAGAAAGAGTCATGGCTTGCCTACTTGAAATAGGATGATAAGCTTTTCAACTAAGCAGAAATAACTAGCAGTCTTGCAACAGAAGTGCAAAGAAAATGGAATTAATACCCAATATTTAGCTTTATAGGTCTCAAGCTTAAAAAAATTAGATCAGGGTCCTGTAAGAGGTAGACTCATCATCTATTTTACACTATTTAGATCAGTTTATCATAAGCAGCAGTTCTGTTTCCGAAATCATGAGGAAGTAGACTGGTGTAGATTCCTGTGTTCTTCAGGAGACACTGTGGTATTCAGCAGCCTGCCTATGCAGAGGATCCATTGCTTCTCAAGAAATGTGCAGAAAGGATCTTTCATAGCCAATAGTGATTATTTCTTTTTCCAGTTCTGCTCCTGTAATTAGCAAGGAAAGCTTTTTACCGGGTGAATGTGTGACATTGCAATTGGTTTCCAGTGATACACTTTCCTCCTGGACACAAGTTCACTACTTAGATGTAATTAAGAATTTTAATATTCCTACACTTGCCACTTATTATGGCCAAAGTCACTGGAAATCTGTGCCATCTCACTGGCTTCCCAGACCAGCTAAGCAAAGACATAGCAGTCAGGTGTTGTGGATACTACAGAGGAATGAAATGCTCTGAAATATACATGACAGCAGTTTTCTGGGTTGTAGTTTGCATTTCTGATATATTGGCATTTTGAAAGTTCATATTTAAGCTCGTCCAATCATAGTCCTTCACACTAGATTGAATTTATTATATGCTCATTTCTAGGAAACATTTAAAATTGACTTCTAGATTTTTATCATAATATTAAAAGTGTTTTTAGGCTAGCCTGTTAAATTTGCTATACAGTGTAATTGGATTGAATAATTTCAATTAAATAACACATTTATTCAAAGCAGAAAACTTCTTAAAGTCTTAGCACCTTTGCAAACATTTTCAAAGGAAGGTGTCTGGGGGACAGAATAGCTAGAGAGAAAGAGGACAGGGGAAACAGAAAGAGATAAAATAGAGAAGGGGAGAGAGAGACTTACCATCTTCATACAACTGTGTTCTGTGAAATATTCAAGAGGTTGGTTTACTCTTTTTCCCTTTTTTTTACTCTGCATCCTAATGCATGGTGAAAAAAAAAATCCAAGCCTTAAAAGCTGTCATAAAATAAACCCATCGTTCTCCAACTAGCACTACCACAGAACTCATCTACCTAGATTATGAATATTTAATATTTTAAGATATGTTAGATGTAATATATTCAATAAAGTTTAGCTCCAAATAAAGTGCTTGTGACACTGTTAACGAGATGTTTTAAACTTTTCCATTACTATTGTTGAAAAGTCTTCACTTTCTCACAAAACATTTTAGTTTTCCATGAGATGCGTAATACCGAAATAATTTCAGGTGGTTCTGGTGGCTTTCAGGGGAAACACATTTGTGCCTTTTCGAAGGCTCTTGCCATTATTTATTCAATCTTAGATGTGAAGTTATTTCTATACTAGCTTTCAGATTTAAAATGTTGCATACATAGTAAATGCAGGGTCTTTGAGAAACTCAAAAGGAGAAAAATATGACAATGTAATGTTATCATAATGTTATGTGTATATTGCAACTTGTTGAGCTTGATAATATCTGATATCCATCTTATGCAGAAGTATTTTCAGTAGCTAGCATCAAATGCTTCCAAAGATGAGGTAAGAACTGTGAAGAAAGCTAAAGAAAGTTTAATTTTCTAAACATTTAAAGTATCATTCTAGACTCTGATCATTAGGACTTGGCTTAGTGTCTGACTTTTCCAGAACATTTTTGATTGCTAATTATGACAATTCTGGGTATTTCTATAATGTACCTACATAGTTGCTGAGGCTTCCTAATTTTTGATCTTCATATAACATTTGTGAAATCTTCAGGTACAAGGGAACCAGTCCTTTTTTGGATCTTGACTATCCATTTATTAATTTGACTAAATGTGCTTGTGCATTAACTTTGAGAAAGGGACGGCAGAAGTTCCTAATCTATTTTTCCTCAATTGCAGGAAGCAATCCTAATTTTTTTTTTATGAGAGTATGGGAGGTTTTTTTAGATAGGGATCAATCCTCTGAGCTTATAGTGAATCCTCACTTGTAGCAAGGTCTACGCAATTCCTTTAGAAGTGAGGAGGCTGGTAGACTTAGAGTTATATAAAAGCATTATGATAGTCTCTGTCTTATTCATCAGTCCATTCCTTTTCTGTTCAAGCATCTTGCTTACTTTTTGAATGCATCAACACTTACCTGTCTGGTGCTGATATTATTAGTTCGGAACTGTCAGGTACGTGAATTTATAGAATCACAAAATTGTATGGGTTGGAAGGGATCTTGGAAAGTCTCTTGTCTAGCCTCTTGGTCAAAAAAGGATCAATACTGAACTCAGAACAGTTTTCTTAGTGCTTTGGCTGGCTGCATCTTAAAAACGTCCAAGGACAGAGATTTCACATGTCTATTCCAATGCTAAACTATGCTCATGATATGGGTAATTTATTAATTTTTTCTTACATGTAAGTTCATTCCAATATTTAATTTTGTTACTGAATTATGCATATTTTTTTTTTGCTTAGCTTGTTACATTTCTGTTGTCGGCTCCTGATTAAAACATGGTTTTGTATCATCTGTGTTACTATGTGGAATGGATTTGAGTGCCTGCAACTATTCATGCACACAAAATGACTTGAATACTTGTATAAATAAGCTAATAGCTGGATTTTGGGTGTTCTTTTTGAGTCTGTCTTTCCTAGTCAGCGTCATTGGCCTATTCATGAATGGGAGTGGCAGCTAATCAGCATACAGTATGTCACACAGCCATAGGGCAACTGATCAAACTTGCTCATGTCTTTATAATATCATTGCATGATGTGCTTCTGTGCTGTATAAAAGAGCACTACTTCTGCCCGCTCTGTAGATGAGGAAGGGTTGAATCAAAAGTGTATAAAAAGCAGCCTGCAGTCTTCTATCATTTTCAATTATGGATATTAGAACATTTTACCACACTCCTAGCTTTGCATTTTTAAGTGTGATATCTTATGTTTGCAAGAAAGCCACAAAATGAAAGGCAGAACTCCTTGTGAAAAGGAAACCAATATAATAATGACTAATAGATTTGGATCCAAAGGCTGGTTTAA